ACAACTGGGCCACATGGACAGCATCAGTGGTCCGCTTACACGGAATGAAGTGTGCCATCTTTGAAAATCTATCCACCACAACAAAAATCGAGTCAAAACCCCGCTGAGTACGAGGCAAGCCCAACACAAAGTCCATGCTGATGGCCTGCCACGGCTGCGACGGAATAGGAAGGGGACGGTATAAACCCGCATTCGTGGCAACACCTTTCGATATCTGACAGACACGGCAACGAGACACAAAACGCCCAACATCACGGCGTAAAGAAGGCCAAAAATAAGAGCGACTCACCAACTCGATTGATCGGTCGCGTCCCACATGACCGGTGCCATGAAGATCAGCAATAAGCTTCTGGCGCAAACTGCAGTCCGGAATACACAGACGAACTCCCCGAAATAAAAAACCATCAGTGATAGTGTAATCCTCATAAGGTCCATCCCGCAATCGGGTCAAAATGGGGCCAAAGAAGGAGTCAGTAGGATAGACATCACAAAGAACCTCAAAGCCAATCACCGACACGCGCATCTCAGATAATAATAACACCCGACGGCTCAAAGCATCTGCAACCCTGTTCGAGGCGCCCGAACGGTGTCGAAGGACAAATGTGAACTGCTGAAGGAATGACGTCCACGAAGCATGTCGTGCCGAGATATTGTCCTGCGAGGCAAGATGGCGAAGAGCCTCGTGATCGGTATACAAAACGAACTCCCGATGGAAAAGATAGTGTCGCCAATGTCGCACAGCGCGCACCACGGCATAAAACTCAACATCATACGTACTGTATCGCAGTCGGGAGCCCGACAACTTCTCACTGAAGAAAGACACTGGACGGCCGTCCTGGCTAAGGACAGCACCAATACCCACCTTCGAGGCGTCGCATGATAGCTCAAATGGTCTCGAGAAATCCGGTAAAACAAGCACCGGAGCGTGTGTCAACTTGCTCTTAATGAGAGCAAATGCCTCCTCGGCTTCCTCCGTCCAAATAAAAGTTTTCCCCGTGAGACAGCTCGTGATCGGTGCCATGATAGTGCTAAAATGGGAAATGAATCGCCTATAAAACGAGGCCAAGCCATGAAAGCTACGTGCCTCGGTGAAAGTAGTGGGCGTAGGCCAAGCACGAATGGCCTCCACTTTGCTGTCATCCACCCGAATCCCAGCTCCGGAGATCACAAACCCCAAAAACAAAACCGAGTCCACCATGAAAAGGCACTTCTTCGGTGCCGCATAAAAAGACTCAGCCCGCAGTATAAGCAAAACCTCCCGAACGTGCTCCAAATGCTCCTCTACGGTGCGGCTGTAAATAAGAATGTCGTCGAAATAAACGACGACACATCTGCCAATAAGGTCCCGTAGTGTCTGATTCATCACGCGCATAAAAGTACTCGGTGCATTAGAGAGGCCGAAAGGCATAACCAACCACTCAAAGAGACCTTCCCGGATCTTAAAAGCCGTCTTCCACTCATCCCCCGGGCGAATGCGAATCTGGTGGTACCCACTACGAAGGTCCAATTTGGTAAAGACAGTGGCACCGTGCAACTGATCAAGTAAGTCATCCAAGCGAGGAATAGGAAAACGGTACCGTACAGTAATTTTGTTGATCGCCCGACTGTCCACACACATACGCCACGCTCCGTCTTTCTTCGGGACCAACAAAGCCGGAACGGCACAAGGACTCAGACTCCGGCGAACAACACCACGTTGGAGGAGCTCCTCCACTTGACGGCGTAGCTCCTCGTGCTCAACCGGACTCATCCGGTAATGGGGACGGTTTGGCAAAGATGCCCCTGGTATCAAGTCAATCTGGTGCTGAATATCACGAAGTGGCGGTAATCCCGAAGCAAGCTCAGACGGGAAGACATCAGTAAACTCGGAAAGTAGAGACTGGATAGCCTCGGGCGGCTCCTGAACACCTGGGGAATCAGTTCCGAATAATAAAAGAACAATAGGTGCTGACCGCATCTCGACCACAAAGGCTTCTCGGGAAAGAAAAAGAACAGTCGAAGAATCCGCCGATGTGGAATGACGTGTAGGACTAGGATGCAATACAATACGAACACCAGCGAAGGTGAAGCTGTACGTGTTACGTCGGCAGTCCAGAGTAGCAGCCAAGTCATACTGCCAGGGTCGGCCAAGTAATAAGTGGCATGCATCCATGGGCACCACGTCACACCAGACCTGGTCCCGGTATGTAGCCCCAATCGCCAAAGAAATAAGAGCCCGGCGGTCAACAGTAATAGCACGGTCACGATG